TTATGGCTTCCAGAGGAATGAAGTTTGAGCTCTCCTTATGATGTAATAAAATCCCTTTGGCCAGAAGTCTTCAGAACATGACTGGAGAGCTTCTGTGAGTGAATTGCATTCTGCTTTAGTTGCTGCTTTAGTTATTTTAACAGCTCTGGTAATAAGCAATTCAGCAATTTCTGGTCATTTTCTCCAAGGACAGTATCTTTCACTTTTACATGTAGAATACATGTAAATAAAGTGTGTTGTCTTTTGTTTACCAGTTTCTTTGTTCTTGTAGGCCTGATGTCTTGTGTGTTATTTCTGCTTACTGAGCAAATTGTCAGAGGAGCAGGGCAGCATCCAAGTCTGCTTTTACTCACTGGACAGTGACTGTTAGGCATTGGTAGCTACTGCAGTGCAGACTTTTAAAGAGGCTGTTGTGTAATGAACTTGCATAAAAAGGAACTATGAGATCCCAGTCAGGAAGATCTCCCCCAGTTTCATCAAGTCTGTCTCATCTGTTACAGACATTCAGTACTGTAAAGTTTCTGAGCACAACTCTCAGTGCTTGATGTACTTGCATTAGTCTTGCATCAACAACAAAAAAACCCTACTGTAGCTACAGCAGAGAAAGATAGATCTTATTTCGAAGAGCTGCTTTACAAACCAAATCACCAGAAAGCACTTTGTCTTGCATGCCTCCTCTTTGGAGTGCCTGATAACATGATTGCCTTCTCTGACAGTTTTATTTGTAGCATAGGAAGGTTATCTGCACACCCATTTTTTTTCCTCCTGTGAAAATCAATTTGTGTGCACATAAAAATCCCTACATATTACGAAATTGTTATAAAACAAAATTTTATATTAAGAAATGTCTCTGTTGAGACTGATTTCTCCCCTCTCCCCTAGTTTTTTATAGCTCTTTACATTTACAGGTTTGGTTTGTTTTTTTTTTCCCTCAGCTCTGCCCAGTGTAGTCTGGCTTTGGTATCTTCTGTCTCAAAAATGAAGCCTATCTTCATGGAATACATTCAGTGGGACAAGCAGTACTGGCCATGGCAGTGGAGTTGCTGCCTCCTTTGACCTCACCAGACTGTTGAGTCAGTGGGCAATTCGCTCACTCTAAGCCCGTTCCTTGTCTCTGCTAGAACCATGTACAGGATTGCTCAGCCATTATGTGTGCTTTCTTGCTAGGTGTTTTGGGATGAGGCTGGCACCATCGCATTCACCTTGTGTCTTCCTTTTGCAGCCGTCAGGTGGTACTGACTTTTGGGTAATTATGGACAAACCTGGATGAAGGGATTCACTCTCACCTTTTTTCTCTCCCACCGGGTGATGTTCATGGGGACTCCCTTTCTCACGGAAACCTAGTGGCAAGTGCCTGCCACGTGTGGCAGTATGAAAGAACAGAGTAATAAGTTTTAAAAGCCCCTAAGTCTATACACAGCCTTGAAAAAATGTGTTTTTATTTCAAATTAAAATAGAAACATAAACAATTTTCTGGTAATTACGTTATTAGGTATCCGTTTAATGTTCTGTGCTTTTTTCTTTAAAGAGGAAATTTAGCTGTTCAGGTACTTACTACACTAAATGGAGAAACAAGATGATAGTGCAGGATACAGAGGTTTTTTGGTATCTTCTTCACTTGCTTCACTTTTTTCTGCTTTATGTCCAGCACATACAAAATATAAAAAATAAGATTTTTGCATGGCATGTTGTCATGATTAAAGTGTTCTTCAGTCTTTCAGATAAAACTGCTACTGAAACTACCTATTTAAGCATAGACTTTTCATAATGAAACTCTTGTTTGTTCTTAAATCTTGGTTTAAGGAAAAGGTTTGGTAATATCAGCTTTCATTAATTGCATTTGGGTTTATACGTTTCTTACAAGCTGGAATCTAAATTGCAATTAGACCTGCCTACATCCTCATTAGGCTTTTACAGATGCATACTGGAGTATATCAGTATATTTCTTGCTGGGGAGGGGAGAGCACAAGGATTTATTCAAGTATTTAACTTTTTAAAATTCACTTAAGGTCTCTGGACCTAGCAAAATTTAACAATTCATTGCCAGAAAAGAATTTCAAATCAACTTCTGCTATTGATCCATTGTTGTTTATGTAGAGCGGCATTTGCTGCTAATAAACCTTTCTACTTCTGCAGGGCTTCCCAGGTGAGATCCTTGCAGCACCCCCCAAACAGGAAATGGATTCCTTCATGGAAGCATATTTTTTATGGTCAGAAAATAGTGAACTGAGAAACAAAGGCTGCGATTCAGCAAAGTTCTTACAGTCATGGCTAATTTTAACATGATAGTTTCTAAGGCAGTAAACAGGCCTTGACTCAGGTAAACTGCTTGTTGTTTACATGTAGTGTTTGCCCTAATATTCCAGCATTTAAAAGAGTGCAATGTGTTTTTATACATATGTGCATACATACATACATATATTTAGAGTTTCTGTCACAGTATCCCCACCTACCTTTACTTTTAACATAGAAGGTTTGAAGGTTTTAGTCAAGTCTTTGCTCAGAAAATCCAAAGAGATCCTTTAACTTACAAAGTTGAAAGTAAGATCACCAGTCTTAGGGTTGTTTTGTTGTTTATTGTTGGGGCAGGCATTTCTTGGTCAGGGAAGCTGAGGTAAAGCAATTTCCTTAAAACAAGTTGTATTACACTGACTACATATTGGATCCTTTTTTCTAGGCAGTCACAATGGGTTTCATCAACATAATTCAATTTTAAATGGTCAATATGGTATTGATGGCATCCTGCTTAAGATGATAGTGCAGGTATTTGGCAGCTTCAGGACTAGTTTTGAGACTTTTAGATAGGTTGGTCAGAACGAACTACTATATTACATTTTCTGTACCTGTTTACTGAAGTATATGTTCTTCTTTCTAATATACTGTAAGGATCTTTTTATACCAGGGTTTTTGAGAATGCTGGACAGTCAATTGCCTTTACCTTGGCACAGCACCAGACCCTTCTTTGTTGTTGCTGGCTTCATGATGATTTATTGGTGTTCCCCTTCCAGGGAAATAATTGTCAAGCTACTTGTTTTTGAAATTACTTTTTTGGACAAGGATACACATAGTGCTGTTTTAAAAGTGTCTTTCTAGAAATTGCAAAAACACTCATTTAGATACTTGTATGCCTTAGCTTTGGAGTTCAGCATGTCAGCACCTTGACCACCTCAGTCAGAATTTGAAACGTTGTCCTTGATCCCCTCCCACCCAGGCAGGGAATGAGAGAGAGCATTGTTGTCGAACCTGAGTTAAATGGTGACGAACGTGAACGTAATTCATGTGGTATTGTCATCAAACTGAAACCAAATAAAAGCTTTAGTTCAGGAAAAATGTATTCAGATGCAAAGAAGTACTGCAGTGTTCTTCTGAATTATGGAGGGTTTGCTGTAGTATTTCAGTCAGCCAAGATGTAACAGAAGATGCAGTTTTGAATATACATTTAAGCCATATTCAGAGTTTTTCCCTCCTTCCAGTTGCCTAGTGTGGAATAATAACAATTTTATACCTACTGTATTAATAAGAAATACATATTTCTTATTATTCTGGGGGTTGGACTAGATGATCTTTCGAGGTCCCTTCCAACCCCTAGGATTCTGTGATTCTATGTGATTTTGTGTATAAACTTCGATGAAGAACACCTCACAAAGTTGTGATGGTGCCAGATATGCAAGACCCATGGCAGAGTCAAGCCTAACAGCAGAGAGAAGGTGACTCTGGAGACCTAGACCAGACACAGAACTAGAAAGGTCAGACTGATGTACAGAATGTAAAATGGGGATCATATCCCCTGTGCAGAGATCCAAAGCATGCACTCTCCAGTAGTGTATCTTGAAAGGTAATGTAAGGAAGGGCCCTCAGCGTTTACTTTGTTTGGAGTCAGCTTCCCCTTCGTGGTACCTGTCCTGTCTTTGTAGCTCCTTGGAGCAGGGATCTTCTACCCCTTTCTTTTTTCATCACTTGGCATAACAGACTTCAGTTTTCCTTGTTTTCTCAATAAGGGGGAAAACAACAACAAAAAAGATTATAAATTCTACTGCACTCACTGAGTTGCAGCCATTTATACCAATCGAAGATGCTACTTTTAAAGGCAAAGTTCCTTTTGAAATTATTTACAAGTAAGTACACCTATGTGTGAAAAAAAGGTGTGCGCACAAAAAGTTTTTAAACAGAAATACAGTTGAAATAAGTGTTATTCTCAGATTGTTATTGTTAGATTTGCTAACCTAGCGTAGTTTCATTTAATTATTAACTTTTAAAGAGCGTGCTATTGTCTTTTAAATACAGTTTCTCTAATTTTCATACAAAGCTAATTCGAATTTGTGAGACAAGAATGTGCAATCATTCTAAAAATTAGTATTCAGAAATACAAGTAAAATGTGACTTGTAGAAGGGAATTGGAGATTTTTAGTAGGCCTGAGATAATACACATTTTGACCCCCATGGCTGCATGTCATACCTTGGTGAATTTGAACAGCAGTGCTATCTGGTGGGTAAGGTGAGCACAACCCCTAAATGAAGGTACCTAGTAGTCAGGTGTCTGAAGATTGACCAGACTTTCCATTTAATGCATTAAAGGTAAGTTTAAAACTGTTGTATGTGTTCTGATACCTGTATTCAGATATGCAGTGAAGTCTAAAATAAAACCTCAATGCTTTTTACTTTTAAAGTTTTTTATAAATATTTTACTGTGCTGCAGTAACAGGAAGATTTACTTTTTTTCCTAATTAGTGTGCCTCCTAGCTTCAGAATCATAGTCCAACTGATACAGTTAGACTTAAAATAAAAAATAAATACTGTTAAATATAGTAGGCTATTGTTTAGCTTTGTGATTAAAAAATTAGTGAGCTGAGTGGTACGGATCATGTATTTTAATTAAAGATCTGAGGGATTTCTTGCCACTTAATCTCAGAAAATGAGATTATCTTTGGGTTTTTGTCCTTTGCGTTACGTGTGGGTGTATGTGTGTTGCCTGAAACTTTGTTTGCCTCATTCCTTTGTAGTCATGAGACACAGACAACCTGTTGGGATCATCCTAAAATGACTGAGCTGTTCCAGTCCTTAGGTGAGTGCATTCTTAAAATAAATCCTTATGTGGGTCCAGGACTAAAAGCCTGCATTTGTCTACTAACCACATCTGACCTGCCATGAACTGTGTATAACAGGGCATGTTCCACTTAGCAATGAGACACACTTTGCAAGAAACTTACTGCCTTGATCCATGTAATGTTTATTGTCTTTCAGTGAGTTTCATTCTGAACGATATGCTCTGACTGCTTTAATGCAGTATCTTGTTTATTTCTTTTAAATCCCTGAGGGATTGTCCAATGATGCAGGCTGTGTGTTTAAAGCAGGACCCTTGTCTGCAGGGAACTAATATTTCTAATAAATCAGAGTAGATATTCTGTCAGTAAGGGGTAGACCGTATTGTTGCACTACTTACTTCAACATGCCATGCTAACACCTACGTTTACTGTGCAAATCTCCCTTTCTAATGAGTGGATGAAAAAGTATAATGCTGTTAAGTGAGGAAAAAAATAAAGCTTATTGCTAGCAGCCTGTCCTTTTCAAAGCACTGCTTACAAAGTCCTGCTATAGAAATAATGACTTAAAATGCCTTTTTTCTCTGTTACTGTGACCTTTGCTGCTGTCTGTTTCTTACATGTTGTCTGATGGAGGTCTAAATTATTTAAGAAACATAGTGCATTTGAGCACTTCTCTGGAAACTGCTTAGTACTGCATAATGTATGTAAAACTCTGTTATATATCTACGTATTATGTGTGCCAAGATAGTGTCAGAATTTTTGGTGTGCCAATCTCTGCAGGCCCTGGACTGTCAGAGCCAGGAGACTTTCCCTGCAAGTGGATTGGACTGAAGTCCAAGCTTCTCAGTTTTATTTGTTCTGATATATCCTATTAACTCATCGCAAAGAAGAGATGGTTATCAGACTTTTTCCAAAATATGAAAATGTATATGGAAAGAAAAAATTTGAGCTCTCTTTTTAGGACTGCTCATGTTTCTGTTTCTGCTATTACAGCTGACTTGAACAATGTACGCTTCTCTGCCTACCGGACGGCCATCAAAATCCGGAGACTGCAGAAAGCTCTGTGCTGTGAGTTTGGCCTTCAAGACAAATTGTTTCTCAACAGTGCCTGGGGAAGGGAGGGTCACCTTAGGCCTAACAACATTGATGTTTAAAAATGGACTAGATACATCCCTGACAGATTGTCAACCAACAAAATGGCAGGAACAGTTCCCAGTAGTAGGTGTCATTATTGCAAATAAGTAAAATCAATTAATGAATAAAAAGTGGTGCAGCAGGTAAGTTGAAATGGTGTGCCTGCTTGGAATGCTTGGAGAAGTGATAGGGAAACAAATACTGAACTTCTTGACTGTTGTATACTGTTCTTGATGCAAACCAGGCTGAAATGATGTAAGCTACTATCTCTACCTTTGACATAAATTCAGATATTATATGATATTTTTAGGAGAGTTCTACTTCATTGTTTTGTGTTTGATGCTGCTAGATAACTTTGAAAAGATTCCTCCCTCACAGAGAAGATATCTTCCTGTGTGAATTCCAGTTAAAGTTGAGTTCAGTCTGAGGGGAAAGGGCACAAATCTGTATGATTGGTTATGGGTAGTTGGTATTGCATTTTAATCACAAAAACCTACTCTGATAAAACAATTATTAGCAATAATAGTAAGGGTATATATATTGGAGGTGTGCGGAAGGGTCTGAGTTAGATGGGAAATAAACATGCTTTTCACATGGATGTTGGTCCTTCTGCCCAGACCTGTGTTGGCATTTATCCCTATTCCTAAGCAATCTGATAATT